TTTTTTTGTGAATTCTGGTGAATTATCTGCATTATAAGCAGCAACTGAAGAACTCCATGGAGTTGATTTTTGCTGTCTTATATAGGTTGCACGATGAGTGAGCAAGGATGTTTGTATAGGAAGCTTTCTGCCTGTTCTTTGGCCTAGGATGGCACTGCTTAGCTTGCTAACCAGGCAGTGTGAACTTTATGAGGCACCCAGTATTCTTTGCAGTTAACTACCTTTCTTGAGTGGTGGAGCCACTGGAAAAAATTCTGCTCCAGAGGTGTCCCAAAAGCAGAGCAGCAGTGTCCTGTGCCTTACACTGAAATTGTCATCTTTCTGCTTATGAATCTTATTTTGCATACTGCACTATAGAGTCTTCTAGCATGGTAGCTTAAATGTCTCTTAATTTACAAGTAATATCAAAGACTACACTGAATTTTGAATGGATACTTCCTTACTGAAGAGATTACTGAAGAGATTACTTCACTTAATGGGATTAGGAGATATGCATCATACTGTCCATTCTGAAAATGAAATCAGAACATATTTCCTTTTGTATCTTTCCCATATGTGAGGCTTTTTCTATTATAGTATCTTTGCTTGTTTCCACAGTGTTTTCACTTTTAATGTTTGGGTTGGTTTTGCTCAGGAAATTCATGTCAGCAATTGAACACGAAGAAAATTTACTCAGCTCACTTACGTTATTATCTACAAAAATATTTATTTAAGAGTTTTCTTCCCTCGTTGTATAAAATTATATTAGCTGTATACAACCTTGTGTGTTCTGTATGATTTCATAACAACATGGTTCTTAAAGACAGAGTTGCTAGCCTTCCCCTCAGTTCAACATCTTCATGATGGTGTCTAGCTTCAGACAATTACCATGGACTTGTGCAAATGCTGAGGGTAAATACTTTCCACCTACACTGCTTGAAGAAGTCTTACTTCACATTTTCGTTCCAGTGGATAAATTAACATTTTGTGTTCTGTGCAGTCATACATCATGACACTGGTCTCATAGAGATCTGTACTCCTTTACCAGTGCTGTGTATCTTTTGCCTTCCTTAATCTTGCCTCCAATTCTGTCCAGGGAACAGTATGTATATGTATATAGCTCTGTATAAAAACACATATGCACTCCTTTCAACTTGTTTTTTATAATTAGCAAAATCATAATGTTAATCAATCTCTTGTTACCACCAAACTCTCAGAAAAGACATTTTATCTCTTGTAAATACTGGGCCAGTTTCCAGGCTCTTCTGCATACCAGTACTAATCAAGAGTAACTAATTCTGTGTAAGTTAAAGGAGTCATGCCAGTAAATAAAAATGAAATTGTCCTGTTGCTGTGAAAGAAAGAATTTTGTGTGCAAAGTTACGCTTTCAGCTTCTGTATTTTCTAAAGTATTAAAGCTTAATCTTATAAAATAGAATACATGATAATTTCTGGCCAATCATTTTCATAAATGGGGTAGTGCTATGGCACAATGGTTCTCTTGAAGCTTGCTGTTCAGTAAGGTTTTCTTACATAGATAACAACAAGGATCATAAGAGATGGAAAATAAGCAAGCTTTTCTGAAATACATGCTGTCAGAAAGATGTTTTCCTGGGAACACATTGTGAGAAGGCAGAATGTCTTGTTGAAAACACCATTTACCAAATCAAGTATCAGCAACCCTCCAGCATGTAGTGCTGCCTCAGAAGTGACTCACTGGAGGACTATAAAATACTTTTATCACGCGCAAGGCTAGTAATGACATAACACCACTAACTTCAGTCAGTGATTTAAGCTGGGAAACAATAGAATCAGAAGAATGAAACAGCTTTTAGAACAGGAAAACACCTATGAGCTCACTTAAGTCCACTTTATTCATGCCACTGATGATTTGTTCTGTGAAGTATGGTTTCTGTTTCTGTCTGTGTAATAGATTTGCTCTAGTTTAATTACAGTTTAAAACTAAAAGGCTGTATGCTTGTGGAAGATATGTTCTGCATAGATTGTCTTTCATAGTGTCCATTTACTTTGTGTTAATTTCCTGTGCTACCCTAGTAAGTTTATCTTTTTAAAAATAAAATATTTAGCATTGGGCATTTTTAATTTAGTAACGGATGAATTAGCACTAGGTAGTTTCTTTATCTCATAAACTCCTAAAAGTACTTTTCCATCTCATTCTCGTTTTACTACCTTTTTATTGCCTCTGTGAAGCTGCATTATTCATAGCTTGCTCTTATTTACTCGTAAACTTGCTATCTTATCTTGAGTGTTCCTTGAATCTGCATTTGATTTGGTACCTTGTGTTATGAAAATGATCTTCTTCAGATTTACTACTGAGCAACTGCTTCATCCATCTGCTCAAGTTAATTATTTTCGCCTGTTCCACCTTGAACAGTGTTTCCTGATTATGATAGCCACTACCAACAGATGTTTCAGAATACTTGCAACTTTTTGTGAGCATCAGGAGAACACTACCATGATTTCTGATTCTGAATGAACAGTGGAAGATAGCCTGATCTTACAGTGCTAAAAATACTTGTATTTAAATATATATATTTTTCCTCTCTGATCTGTTTTTTTTTTGGGGGGGGGGGAAAGGGGGGAAGGTGGAAGGCTGAGGGAAGGCTTGTAACTATGGTGAAGGAAGGAAACTTAATCCATACATATGGATGGTCTCTTGTAAACCAACCATACTTCTAGAAATACATTGTCAAAAGAGTTCTTCCATTGGTGAATATTCATTTATTCACAGTATTTCTGGTTTTGTTTATACATGGCTGGTTTTTGGATCATCCTACTTGAGGAAATAGACTGCATAGCTGAAGGAAACCCGTAGCAAAACTTCACTAAACTATTTTTAAAAAATGAAGTAAAACGTAGTTTGTGAATTCTTCTGAATCAGTGTAGGTAATATCTCTCTGTGATTTCATAAATTTTAAAGGATGTTCTAGAAGCAGCTCAAGTACTTAATATGAATAATAATATGACCTATGAATAGCATGTTTTCTAATGAAGCCATTTGTTACTAAAAAGGATCCTGACTTTTGCCCGAGTTATAAACTTTATAGATTTCCTGTTTCCTTTTGCTAAGAGAAAATGAAAAATGAAGGGGTAGATCTGTAGCAGAATGCACAATAGTTTAGTGGTTATAGTCAATTATTAACAATCCAAACTAATTCAAGCAATTTTTTTACAGAATGATCTTATGTTTCTAAATTATCTTTAGCAATTATTTACTCAAGTTTTACAGATGGTATTAGAAAAATGTTCAGCAGAGAAATTTCTTGCTGGATGAGAGTGTAACTTAAGGCTTGGACATACACTGGTTCTAGTTATGTTTTATTTTGCAATTTTTCTGTGTAGGTGTATATAATAACTGTAGATGAGTGAATAGCAACACTGGGACAGTAAACAAGAGACTCTTGCAGTGTTTGCTGAGATATGGTAAATTTGTGGGCACTGGCAATAAGAATGACCTGCTAAGTAGGTCACTCAAGCTTGTAATTTGGGGGGAAAAAAATGGGGAAGAGTTATGAAAAGGGATAATTTTCATACTTGTTTAATTAAGTTAAATTGTGACTGTTAGAATCACTTCAAACTTGGTAATAAGTACTAGTCGAAACAACAGTGTGCTGCTGCTTCAATACTGAAGTTTGCTAATCACCTTATTTTTTATCTTTTTTATCTGAACAATGAGCCTTTTTTGTACGTTTTCACATCATTGCAGAGAATTACTGATATTTGAAGTGTAATGAGTTGATACTTGAGAAGTAATCTGAAAAAAGCATAATTTCTACTTAAAGAACTTATTATTCTCGTACAAGAAAAGTACATATTGAAGAACAGATGCTTCCCCACAAGAAAAAATTG